GTATACAGCATGTTTGTTTGATTTCTCAAGGTAAGTATACCTAATAAGGCATTTCAGATATATTTAGAAAGTATAGTGGTGATATTGCTATTCCTGTCTGTCAATTCTCCTTATCCATTGCCTTGAGGCAGTTATTTCAGTTGTAATGCAACTTCTAACAAACTAATTTGTGGACAGGATGTTATTATGCTCACACAAAAAACCTAGATAACAATGCCTCAAGAAAATGTTCACAGCAGAATAAAACATACCATTGATAATTAAAGTTGTCCTTAACAATGTACAAAATGCAAAGCAAGAAAACAGACTTCAGAATTTCAAAGAAAGATTCCACTGCCATAGCTTTAAAGTGATCCAGTTAGCATAGTAATCTGGAGGTATATTTTGCGACATAATTGAAAATTAAAGTTCTAACAACATGGCTCACTTGAATGCAGCGGTAACAGTAAAAAAAATCGGTTAACTTTTGTATTGACTACATATCAGATTTATTATGACATAAAATTTCACTGAGACATGAGGGAAGCCTGATGCCATATGTGCCTTTGTGCACAGCAAGCATGTCAGTATAAAGCATATAACAATATTAACAGTTGGTATTAAAATGTATAAGTTGTTTAATTTTAAATTGTGTAAAATGTAAATTGGCTCAAGAGTTAAAGGAATCTACAACTTCATTCACTCGTTCAATGCTGAAGTTGAATTACAACTGAAATAACTGTCTCAAGGCAATGGATTAAGGAGAATAGACAGACCAGAACTGGTCGCAGCAAACTACTCAGCCATTAGGACAACATCGACCATAACACCACACAACACTCTCATGGCAACTTCTGCAAGACATGTCAGATCTTTGACATGGACATTACCATCACACGTGGGAACACCACCCACCACATGCATGGCAGATACTCATGTGACTTGGCCAATGTTGTCTATCTCATATGCTGCATGCAAGGATGCTCCAAGGCATGGTATATTGGCAAAACCATGCAGACATTACAACAATGGATGAATGGACACCGCGCAACAATTGCCATACAGGATTGTTCCCTCCCATTGGGGGAACACTTCAGCCGTCAAGGACATTCAGCCTCGGATCTTCGGCTAAATGTCCTCCAAGGTGAACTTTGTAATACACAACAACGCAGAGTTGCCGAGGAGAGGCTGATAGCCAAGTTCGGTACCCATGAGGACGGCCTCAACCAGGATCTTGGGTTCATGCCGCACTACAGGTGACCCCACCACACTATACACTCTCACACACTCACACATGCACACACACACGCACGCACACACACACACACTTTCTCATACGAACACACTCACACACACATACTCACACACTCATACTCTCGGACACTTACACTCACACACTCTCTCTCTCAAGCATGCAAACACACACACACTCTCTCTCACACACACTTACACAGTCTCTCTCTCTCTCCCTCCCATGTACGCATGTGTGCACGCACACACGCACACATACACACACAGATACTCACTCTCTCTCCCTCATACACATACACATACACAGACACAGACACACACACATATAATGTTTGGGGTGAATTTGCATTTGCAGATACACTCTATTTTGTTGAAAAAGCACACAATTTGTAGACAGTCAATGTTGCATTTTATAAATTCGTACTTTGAAAATAAAACCAGTCTGATTCCAAGTTAATACACAGCCAGATTCTAAACAAGGCCTCACACCTAAAATGCATTGTCTGACCTGAGATGTCAGCTCTGGTATACTGATAAAACCTCAGTTATGTCACAGTGACTTAAAAGAAATTTTGGGATTTGCACATTAATCCTTTCTAACTGATTAAAGATTTAACAGCCGTCTTAGGTTTGTTCAATACATTCACATCAGTTCTATGACCTTTTGATCTTTTGCTTATAAATTCTGTTTCTGTTTCTGATGCCACCTCTCTCACTGACACCTGAAGAAGGAGTGAGCGAGACTCTGAAAGCTTGTGTTTTCAAATAAACCTGTTGGACTATAAGCTGGTGTCATGTGATTTTTGACCTTGTGCACCCCAGTCCAACACCGACACTTCCACATCATGACCACTGCATTATAAAAGATAAGAAAAGAATTGTTTTTCACTGGGGATAATGGGTTGAATGATATTTGCTTCTTTATAGATTCTCTTGTTGCAGACCATTTTTTATAATACCTTCTCCTCAAGTTAGCAGTACTCTCTGACAGCCTTTGATGCTGCTTCATAGAAGTACTGGCAGGAAAAGAATAATCAAAGCAGAATGAGTTTGATGTTAAGCTTTCTCCTCTGTAACATGTAAGGTTTTGTTCCCATAAAATGCTCACTCTGACACCTGGGCTGAGAAATGACATTAATCCAATCTGAGATAGTTAGGCCTTTGATGACTAACCTGTCTTCCATTTTCAGTGTCAAGTAGCTTTGGGCCTTAAAGTTACGGCTGTTTGAATGAATGATTGATTTATTGTCACATATATCTTGAAGATAAAGTGAAAAGATGTTTTGTCACCTTAATCCAGCACCATTTTGATTTACAACAAGAATAAAAAGAAATTACTTAAATAAGAATTCATCTTCCATTCAAATTGGGTTCTCAAGCATGACTTCACGGCTTCTGCAACGTGTCTGGAATGTGTTCTGGTCCTCAAGGAGTGTCACTCTGGGAAGAACAATAACGATGCCAATGCCCCAGCAGACCCGGCTCTGCTGCAGCCACTTTGCCAATATCGCAAAGGGTCCAGGCTCTGGGTCCCCACTCTGTGCAACACTACTGCTAAGAATCCAGGCCCAGGCCTACCACCGCAAGGAGCCCAAGCTTCAGGCCTACTGCCGGTTTGAGAAATAGGCTCAACAGATTTGTACTGCTGCATTATCCATGCTTCAAATGATTTAGTTACCTTTGAGTCAAATTTTAATAAAATATTTTAAATACTGAAGATTTTAGATTAATTTTAAGACAAAATATCATTATTTCAGTCATTAAAATAATTTCAGACAATAACAATTTGTGATGAGCTGCCAATTTCAATACCTTATCAACTGGATTATACATTCAAATGATTTAATTCTGATGTTTAATTAGCAACTCTCTAATCCTAATTAGTTCTTCCGAATACCAGAAATATTAAGAGTTCATATTAAGACAAGGAAAAAATATTGCCCTAGTGGTTATGTATCATAGCTATACTCTTATATATCATGATTCACAGCAATCAGAGATATTTTTGTGCCCTAGCTGTAAGAATGAAATTAAATTTAATGTGCTTTCAAGTTCACAGGATGTCCCAAATGTATCACTATATTCATCTTATAAATAAAATCATGTCCCTAAAAATCACTTTGCTGGCCTGAAAAGTTTTAATAGCATATTGTCAAACCAAATAGAGCGTGGCCAATTCAACAGCAACACCATTAATAATAGCCACTGTTGAGGCTTCAGGGAGAAGGAATAGCGATGGGGTTGGGCACATAAGTGAGCCTTGGCAATCAGAGGTGTGAGCTCAGCAGAGGCATCATCAAAGCTACCCATTGCCTCCAGATTGATTTTCTTCTGGCTGCACCCCCATAGAATGGGAGCAGTTCCTACTCTGTTAAAACATGGGACAAAAAAATGGTCAGTAATAACTCAGTTGCTTCAATTGGCGGCCCAGGGCTGGTTAGTGTGGGGTGCATGGGGGGAGGGGATTGGGGTATGGTTGGTTTACTAAGCTATTGTTGTTCCTACCATTTGAATTATCCCATAGTAGAATGAAGATAGCAGACCTGCCTTGTAATGTCTTCTACTAACATTTTACCAGCTCTCCCACCTCCAGGCAACCTTCAGAGGGCTGGTAAAATCCAGAATGTGTATTTCTCCATTTATTTGGACATCTGTCCTCAACTGAACTGGATAAGGAATTTTCATTTAAGAGGAGTGAGTGCAATTACCTTTGCCATCATTTTGACAACAATATTTAAGCCATTGCTTTTTCGCAGGCAGTAGATATTTTCCGGACAAAGGCATTACAGCAATTATGAAATGAATAACCAGTTATTGTTTGATGAAACATTGAGGAAATGTTGCCCCCTCCCCAGGAATTGTCTTGCTTTTATATTTAAAAGGGCATTCTTTCATTCACCTAACAGGGAAAAGGAGCTTTGGCTCAATATCTCACTTTAAAAATACAGCATCTGCTCAATATTGTGTTGAAGTATCATCCCCTCCCTGTTCCAGTCCTCAAATATGGTGGGAACCTACAACTTTCTGATTAAAGTGCAAGTATTATCATTTAGCCACACTGACTCAAATTATAATTGTAAACATAGAAAGTTACCATATAACATGTCCGCAGAAAGTGCAGGCAGACATAATTTTATTAAAATATTATTTTGATTTCTTAGTATAATATACTTTATAGCATGCATTCAGTAATGCCATATGTATGTGAACTGGGCTAAATAACACCCTAACTACAAACTTACGTAAATAGTTAAATTCTGGTTAAATTTGAAACTACTGTAAAGCTGATGGAAGGGCTTTTAAATTGGATTTTCACTCTTTTCCAGACACCGAATGTCATTGTAGTAAAATACATGCCATATTACAAATATTATGTTATGAAACTATGAGCTTTCAAACTTCTGTCTTAAATATATTGGGAGGAGATTTGAAATAGGTTAAAACCATGTTATGCATAACACAAGAAATCATATAAGAAACAGTCAGTGGTTGCATTTTCTTCAAAATATTAATCCAGTGAAAGAGTATTCCATGAATCATTATAAAGTAAAATAATTCCACATTTTTGAGTGACAAATCAGGGTGCAACATACTTTTTAGAAGTTATTGCTAACTGACTTATTGTAATTACTATACGAACTTAAGTTTAAATGCATTAAACACTAACATTGACAAAATTAGTTTCGTACATTTTGTTAAATTGAGAAAATGCCAAAACTGGTAAATGGATATTTTTTAGCTTTAGCTTTGGATAATAAAATGAGACTTACACAAAGTGCTTGATAGATTTTCATCACCTGCAGTTGTCCCAAGATGTTTCAATGGTCGGTCTTTTCCAAGTTTTCTTTATCGAGCTGATTCACAGCACAGAAATGGCCTACTTCAGCATCTCTGAAGCACATTATCTAATCATTGATCCATTGGGAGCTCACTTCAATGGTTCACTTTTGAAGGATGGGTCTTCAAACAATCTCTAACAGCAATATGCTTCTTGGTGATAATCTCGGGCACTTCCTGGATCAGAAGAATGTCAGAATGCCAATAAGAAACCAAACTGGGCTGTGAAAAAAATAAGAAAAACAGTCAGACAAAAAATACCCTACATTTAAGAGGTTGAGATGATTTCTGATGTTCCATTTTGATGCCTAATCTTGGAGAGAACAAGAAGATCAAGTTAATAAGCAATGGCACCATTTTGGCTACAATCAAAATAGCTATTTTCATTTAATTAATTTTTTTTAAATGTGAAATATGTGATATTCCATTGATAAATTCATTTAGCATTGACAACATCATGTGTAAAAATAGAATCCAGCCATCCACAACGATAAATATCACTATCTTTTGCATGTATATAACTAAATATGACCAGCTTAATTTGACAGCAATGTAAAGAATCAAAATGCTAAGCCAATGAGAACATTTGCTATAAAACAGAAGGTACTGGGAAACTCATGAGGTTTGAAAGTGGACAGAGAAACAAAGCTAACATTTCAGTTCTGAAATGAATCTTCTTCATTGTTCCAAATAATGATTTGTATTATTAATTTTTTTGATGCCTGTGTGCACCAATTTCAAAAATATCATAGAATCCAGAAACACCTGTTTATTGGTAGAGTGACCCGAAAACAAAATGCAAGCAATAAAAGAGACAACAAGGTGCAGAGCTGGATGAACACAGCAGGCTAAGCAGCATCATGTTCATCCAGCTCTGCACCTTGTTGTCTCGGATTCTCCAGCATCTGCTGTTCCTACTATCTCTGATGCAAGCAATAAAATATGTAATCTAAAACACTGATAGCCATAGGTAAATCATCAGTTAGTTTTGAAAATAGTTTTCAATGATAACTTTCATTCTTGACAATTGGTTCTTCTCTACAAGATTAGAAAGCTAGTCCAGTAATTCTATTGGCAGCCTGTTGAAAATACTCACACAATGAGTCGAACTTATTGAACACCTTGTCTGCACCTTGTGTTCCTCAGCTGACTCCTTGAAAAGTACTACATTTGTAATTACTTCAACAATGGTACTGTCGTCTATTGGTGTGACACAAGCTTCAACATCGTCAGCAGCAATAGCTGCAGTAGTCAAAAATCCTTCCTTTTCTAATTCAAATTTTGAGAAGGGTGCAGTATCAGCATCATCTTCTGTGACATCGCAAGGTGAAAATCCATTGAAGCTGTTATCATTAGCTTCAAACAAAATTACACGCACGAAACAATTGTGGGTTGTTTCTTACTTTATCACATTCCGGGCTTTCTGGAGGATGTTCATTACTTCAAGTAAGTCAACAATGAAGTTTTCACTGAATTCCAGGCAGAGGATGGACAAGCACCTTGTGGTTAAAGCATTTAAAATTACTAACTGTACATTGGTCCATTGGTTGAGTAATCGAAGGGAGACCAACTAGTCATATGCCTTTTGGTCTTTTGACATGAGGATGAGTTGATTAATTATCCACAAGAGTAAGATCCTGGGTTTCTGGACCTGTATATGGCAGTCAATTTCGTGAAGTAAAAATTGTAAATGTCATCCAGACATTTTTGCTTTGCAGTTTGCTTTGCTGCTAACGGGAAAGTTGTTATGTTTTAAGCAGCATGGCTTTTAAATAACAAGCCATGCTTTTCATTTCCAGACTCATTTGCAGCAACAAGAAATGGCACCGGTTTTTTTGTTTACTTACCACTAAGTTATATGAATATAAGGGGCCTTTCAGTCCATCATGGTTGATCTTTCCCAGGCCTTAATTCCTCTTTAGTGACAGCTCCTCGCATCCTTCAACTCCCTGATATTTCAATAACTAACTACCTTCTCTTTAAATACTTTCAGTGATCTCGCCTCCACAATTTGGTGATGTAGAGAATTCCAAACATTTGTACCAACTTTTCAAAAGAAATTCATCTTTAAATGAGTGTCCCCTTATTCTGTACCCCAGCTCAAGATTTCCCCACTAATGGAATCAAGTGCTGCATTAGTAGAAGTTACTTTTGTCTGGATTACGGATATCAGTGGGATTATATGCTTGAGTAAGCCCTTGAATAGGCTCATGCCAAACGGATTTGAACTGGCTATGGATAAGCCTTCCCCACAAAGCTTCTTATAGACAAGTTTATGCCATGATTTAAACCATGAAAACTACACTTAACTTGGGCTAAAGTTGTTGACATTTATTTCAACTTGGCCCATAAAAATCTTCTTTTGTTCATGTTACATTTGGTTTAGCTTTAACTATATAATTATATCAAAAAAAGAGTACTTTCTCTAATTCTGTATTTTTTGCAAACTGCATTTTTTGTTTAAAGTATTTCATTCTCCAGCCTCAGAAACTTTGGTAATTGTTTCAGTGTTCTTTGCCCAGTTGTTTGTCATTGAATTCAAATTGATTTTTATTTGTATGTTCTTCCTTTTACAGTATGTCTTCAATGCTCTTTGCTGGGTTTTGAGTTCTTAGAGGTTAAGTTTTATTTTTTCACCATGATTCGTCATGATTTTCAACAATAGCCAAAACACATACTTCCTTAAACTGTAGCAGCCATGATCATATTGAATGGTGGAATGGGCTCGATTCACATTGGATCACCCAGGCCAATACAAGAAATCCAGATATGACCTCCACAAAGCCATCAGAGAGGCCAAGAGGCAGTACCGGACCAAGTTAAATGCCAAAACCTACCAAACAGACTCTGTCGCCTATGGCAAGGCCTAAACAATATTACAGGATACAAAATGAAGCAAAGCAAGATAGCAGACAAAGACACATCCTTTCCTGATGCACTCAATGCTTTCAATGCTCGGTTCGAGCAGAATACCAGCAGTGCAGTGACACCTGCCCCCGACTTCACCAGATACACTTGTTCGCTCTGTCACAGCTGCAGACTCAGATCGGTCTTCCTGGGAGTCAACTCAAGAGAAACGATGGGCCTGGACGGTGTCCCAGCCAAGCAGTCAGACCCTGTGTGGACCAACTGGCGGAGACATTCACTGACATCTTCAACCTCTCCCCCCTACAAGCCAAACTCCCCATCTGCTTCAAGATGAGCACTATTATCCCAGTACCTAAGAAAGCACATACAACGTGCCTTAATGACTACCACCCAGTCACTCTGACCTCAATAATCATGAAGTGCTTCGAGAGGCTAGTCATGGTCCACATCAATTCGAGTCTCCAAGCCTGCCTCAATCCCCTATACTTTGCATACCGACATAACAGGTCCACAGAGGATTTCAATCCATGGCCCTAGACTCATTCCTGGAACATCTGGACAACAAAGAAACCAACGTCAGACTCCTGCTCATCAATTACAGCTCCGCCTTGAAAACCATTATCAAAACTCTGTGATCTTGGTCTCGGTTCCATCCTCTGCAACTAGATCCTCAGCTTTCTGACCCATAGGCCACAATCAGTGAGGGTAGATAACTGCTCCACCTCCGCAATAACAGTCAACACTGGAGCCCCCCTGAGGATGTGTCCTCAGCCCCCTACTGTACTCTCTGTACACCTATAATTGCCAAATTCTGAATGAATGCCATCTACAAGTTCACTGATGACACCACCGTCGTGGGACAGGTTTCTAACAACGACAAGTCAGAATACAGAAGGAAGATAGAGGGCTTGGTGACATGGTGCAATGAAAACAATCTGTCTCTCAAAGTCAGCAAAGCTAAAGAACTGATCATCGATTTCCAAAAGAAAGGAGGAGAACATGCCCCCATCTACATCAACAGAGCTGAGGTTGACAGAGTGAAGAGCATCAAGTTCCTCAAAGTTACGATAACCAACAACCTGTCCTGGATTTCCCACGTAGATGCGACAGTCAAGAAGGCACAACAAGGCCTCTTCTTCCTCAGGCAGCTCAGGAAATTTGACATTTCCATAAGGACCCTCACCAACTTCTACAGATGCACCATTGAAAGCATACTGTCTGGGTGCATAGCGGCCTAGTATGGCAACTGCCCTGCCCAGGACCGTAGGAAACTACAGAAGGTAGTGTGAACAGCCCAAACCATCATGGAAGCCAACAACTTTCCATCCATGGACTCCATTTACATGGCTCGCTGCAGCGGAAAGGCGGCCAACATCATCAAAGACCCATCGCACCCCAGTAATGACCTCCTACAACCTCTTCTGTCAGGCAGAAGTCTGAACACATGCACAAACAAGTTCAGGAACAGCTTCTTCCCAGCCGTTATTAGACTAATGAATGGACTCTCTAGCCTCAAATAATGCTGATCTTGCCAACTTCGATCAGCCCTGCGCAATGTAATCTATATGCCTCTGGTAAGTCTTTTTGATCTGTACATTCTTGCTTACTATGATCTGCCTGTGCTGCTCATAAACAAAGCTTTTCACTGTACTTCAGTACACACAACAATAAATCAACCAGTCGAAAGGCCATCTCCTTCTCCTATTTTCTATGTTTTTATGATAGAACTGGACTGCTGCTACAGGGATCCAGAGACATCCACACCCTAACACCCAAGAAACAATCACATTAACCAGACATCCCACAACACCTCTCACCAATGACCACATGGCTTTTGCCTATTATGTTTGTAAGTGTGCCTATCTTCCCAAGGACCTACCCAGGCAACAATGTGGACACACTGGAGGAACCATCATCTACACTGCCTCCTGGACTGCCCCAGCAGCATGGACAAGAGCATCTCAGTGACCTTTACAAGGGCATCCAATGAGTTTCAGACACCAACATCTCTACAGATGTTGGGTGAGGGAAAAATGTCATGTTGAAAGTTTGGTTTTCAAAAAATGTTTTATCAGTACTTATTACATTTCATAAACTCTTGTGGTTCAACATTTATTTGGTTGTCCCTCTATTTGTTTCACCTGTAGATGCTTAATAGCACCCTGCAGCATCACCCCTTCCCAGAAATGAGGCACAATGGTTGAGGATGAAAACCAAATATATCTTGTGAGAGCAGTGTAGCAATGTGTGTGCATGGAATCAATCAGCTCAGCTAACACCTTGGGACACTCTCCCATCTCCTCCCTGTTAGGTTAGCTGTGTACCCAGGACCATACATCTCAAGCAGTTCACCA